CCAACTGGTACACGCGGTACTGGCGCACGCGGTCCGTGCCAAACAAAAGTAAAGTTTACCACAGACCATGTGACCCAAATTTGATTACACCCAAAAATGTTAAAATTATATTTTATTTACAAAAACAAACGCTTATTTTTATTACAAATAAAACATGGCATTTCTAATTATCAAAAATTTTAAATATTTACAATTACTATGACTTCAAAGAAGTAGCATGTAATTGAAAAAAAAAAACAACTTACACTACTTACACACATAATATGTTGCATTTTTAGAGAATGCAGGACAAAGAGAAAATATTTTTTTTTGTCTTCTTCATGATTACATTTGCATATCTATCTACGAGTATATAGGTATATAAAAATTTCGTGTCACGATGTATGTTCGCGATAAACTCCGAAACTACTAAACGGATTTTGATAAAATTTGGTAACTATCTGTAGTTTGGTCCAATTTAAAAGAGAATAGTTTTTATCTCAATTATTGACCTCAATATTTGTTATTGCAAATTAAATGTTTATTAAACGACAATTAGGCATTCCAACGACCTGTCAAACAATAGCTGACAGCGGGAAGGGTTAGTCAATTTAAAGGGGTTGCGACATAGCCTTCCATCTTGCACGCTATTTTTATTTGAAATAATAGTCGCCGAGCCTGCCAATTTATATAATGTATAAGCGGTTTTTTTTAAAATAATATTTTCATTGTGTTCAACATAAAATATTTAAATTTCATCCATTATTTATGATTTCATATAATGCAGAGAAACTACATCGTAGGTCGCAACCCTTTAAATATACCAAACCTTAGCACCGCGTTTCATTTGTATGGAATGCCTAAATATTGTGTATTTATTGGTTAGTTCTATAAATTCCTAATAGATGACGGTGTAAGGTGAAGACTTGCGCCTTTTTAAATATAGGAACTTGAAAATTGGAATTGCAGCTACTCATAAATGTAAATAATGAGGTATTTCAAGGTTTTTGGATTTTCGCATTTAAAGGAGGGGGGCATGGGAAGTATCATAAATGCGAATGTTTGGAGAAAGGAAGAAATAGAGGAAATTGGGAAAGGGGGAAATGGGAAAGTGGGAAAGTGAAAAAATAGGGAGAAGGGGGAAGAAGGATGAAAGTATAGATTTTTTAAAGGTGGGAACATGAAAGTTGGAATTGTAGCTACTCATATAATGACGTATTTAAAGTTTTTTGGATTTTCACATTTTAAGGAGGGGGGGAATAAATAAATAAAAATAGACAAATCAAAAATAAAAATAAATAAAAAATGAAATAAATATAAATAATAAATAAAAATAAGTAAAATTAATAAAAATTAATAAAAATTAATAAAAATTAATAAAAATTAATAAAAATTAATAAAAATTAATAAAAATTAATAAAAATTAATAAAAATTAATAAAAATTAATAAAAATTAATAAAAATTAATAAAAATTAATGAAAATTAATAAAAATTAATAAAAATTAATAAAAATTAATAAAAATTAATAAAAATTAATAAAAATTAATAAAAATTAATAAAAATTAATAAAAATTAATAAAAATTAATAAAAATTAATAAAAATTAATAAAAATTAATAAAAATTAATAAAAATTAATAAAAATTAATAAAAATTAATAAAAATTAATAAAAATTAATAAAAATTATTAAAAATTAATAAAAATTAATAAAAATTATTAAAAATTAATAAAAATTAATAAAAATTAATAAAAATTAATAAAAATTAATAAAAATTAATAAAAATTAATAAAAATTAATAAAAATTAATAAAAATTAATAAAAATTAATAAAAATTAATAAAAATTAATAAAAATTAATAAAAATTAATAAAAATTAATAAAAATTAATAAAAATTAATAAAAATTAATAAAAATTAATAAAAATTAATAAAAATTAATAAAAATTAATAAAAATTAATAAAAATTAATAAAAATTAATAAAAATTAATAAAAATTAATAAAAATTAATAAAAATTAATAAAAATTAATAAAAATTAATAAAAATTAATAAAAATTAATAAAAATTAATAAAAATTAATAAAAATTAATAAAAATTAATAAAAATTAATAAAAATTAATAAAAATTAATAAAAATTAATAAAAATTAATAAAAATTAATAAAAATTAATAAAAATTAATAAAAATTAATAAAAATTAATAAAAATTAATAAAAATTAATAAAAATTAATAAAAATTAATAAAAATTAATAAAAATTAATAAAAATTAAAAATTAATAAAAATTATTAAAAATTAATAAAAAATTATTAAAAATAATAAAAATTAATAAAAATTAATAAAAATTAATAAAAATTAATAAAAATTAAAAAAAATTAATAAAAATTAATAAAAATTAATAAAAATTAATAAAAATTAATAAAAATTAATAAAAATTAATAAAAATTATTAAAAGTTAATAAAAATTAATAAAAATTAATAAAAATTAATAAAAATTAATAAAAATTAATAAAAATTAATAAAAATTAATAAAAATTAATAAAAATTAATAAAAATTAATAAAAATTAATAAAAATTAATAAAAATTAATAAAAATTAATAAAAATTAATAAAAATTAATAAAAATTAATAAAAATTAATAAAAATTAATAAAAATTAATAAAAATTAATAAAAATTAATAAAAATTAATAAAAATTAATAAAAATTAATAAAAATTAATAAAAATTAATAAAAATTAATAAAAATTAATAAAAATTAATAAAAATTAATAAAAATTAATAAAAATTAATAAAAATTAATAAAAATTAATAAAAATTAATAAAAATTAATAAAAATTAATAAAAATTAATAAAAATTAATAAAAATTAATAAAAATTAATAAAAATTAATAAAAATTAATAAAAATTAATAAAAATTAATAAAAATTAATAAAAATTAATAAAAATTAATAAAAATTAATAAAAATTAATAAAAATTAATAAAAATTAATAAAAATTAATAAAAATTAATAAAAATTAATAAAAATTAATAAAAATTAATGAAAATTAATAAAAATTAATAAAAATTAATAAAAATTAATAAAAATTAATAAAAATTAATAAAAATAACCAAAAATTAACAAAAATTAACAAAAATTAATAAAAATTAATAAAAATTAATAAAAATTATTAAAAATTAATAAAAATTAATAAAAACTAATAAAAATTAATAAAAATTAATAAAATTAATAAAAATTGATAAAAATTAATAAAAAGTAATAAAAATTAATAAAAATTAATAAAAATTAATAAAAATTAATAAAAATTAATAAAAATTAATAAAAATTAATAAAAATTAATAAAAATTAATAAAAATTAATAAAAATTAATAAAAATTAATAAAAATTAATAAAAATTAATAAAAATTAATAAAAATTAATAAAAATTAATAAAAATTAATAAAAATTAATAAAAATTAATAAAAATTAATAAAAATTAATAAAAATTAATAAAAATTAATAAAAATTAATAAATTTAATAAAAATTAATAAAAATTAATAAAAATTAATAAAAATTAATAAAAATTAATAAAAACTAATAAAAATTAATAAAAATTAATAAAAATTAGTAAAAATTAATAAAAATTAATAAAAATTAATAAAAATTATTAAAAATTAATAAAAATTAATAAAAATTAATAAAAATTAATAAAAATTAATAAAAATTAATAAAAATTAATAAAAATTAATAAAAATTAATAAAAATTAATAAAAATTAATAAAAATTAATAAAAATTAATAAAAATTAATAAAAATTAATAAAAATTAATAAAAATTAATAAAAATTAATAAAAATTAATAAAAATTAATAAAAATTAATAAAAATTAATAAAAATTAATAAAAATTAATAAAAATTAATAAAAATTAATAAAAATTAATAAAAATTAATAAAAATTAATAAAAATTAATAAAAATTAATAAAAATTAATAAAAATTAATAAAAATTAATAAAAATTAATAAAAATTAATAAAAATTAATAAAAATTAATAAAAATTAATAAAAATTAATAAAAATTAATAAAAATTAATAAAAATTAATAAAAATTAATAAAAATTAATAAAAATTAATAAAAATTAATAAAAATTAATAAAAATTAATAAAAATTAATAAAAATTAATAAAAATTAATAAAAATTAATAAAAATTAATAAAAATTAATAAAAATTAATAAAAATTAATAAAAATTAATAAAAATTAATAAAAATTAATAAAAATTAATAAAAATTAATAAAAATTAATAAAAATTAATAAAAATTAATAAAAATTAATAAAAATTAATAAAAATTAATAAAAATTAATAAAAATTAATAAAAATTAATAAAAATTAATAAAAATTAATAAAAATTAATAAAAATTAATAAAAATTAATAAAAATTAATAAAAATTAATAAAAATTAATAAAAATTAATAAAAAAATAAGTAAAAAGTTTCTTGATACAAGGATAATCAAGTTTTATAAGTATTATAACCCAGAAAAAATACATTAAAATCCCAACCCAAGACAACTTTTTGTTTCTCAAGGACCAAGGACCAAATCAATTAATTGACAATTAAAAACCATGTAGCTGCATCCCTCACAAGCCCACATTACTTAGAACAGAGGTTCCCAACCTTTTCTGGACCGCCGCCCCCTTTAGAAGAAAAAATTTTCAGCGCCCCTCCAAAACATAAAACATGTAAAAAAGTTGTGACAAAAAAATTACTTTTTTACAGAAATTAAATAAAAAACAAGTAGTATTTTTTTTATATGAACTATTAAAATATTGTTGCATATTACCGGTACCTTATTTATCTGCTTATGTATCTATTAAAAATAATACAGTAGAAATGAATAAAATGACACCAAATGTACAATAAAATTGTTTCTTAAAGTTTTAAAAACAAACATAAAATCAGTTAGAAATAAAAAAATGAGATAATAACAAAATTAAAAGAAAATAAAAAAAAATAATGAAATGGTTAAAACTGGTGGAATTTTACTAAATTGTTAATGTTCCAATTGCGTTAACATCAATTGCAGATCGCCATGTTCAGTGATATGTAGTCTGTTCCTCTTCTTTGACAGTAAATTAGCTACTGCACTGAATACACGCTCAGCCAGATAGGACGAAGGAAATACGATTGAAAATTTCAGTACTACTGCACACAATCCAGAGTAGAGAACTGATATTAATTTTTGGAGCCAAAATTCTTGGGTTCCATTTTTAAATTTTACTTTGAGTTGTTCGTTAATTGCGGGTTCTACGAGTTCCTCTTTCAAATTTGATGAATCTTCTGTATCTGCATTTGCGAAAGGATCTAAAACCCAACTCAGTACGTTAATGTTTAAAATATCTTGGAAACGCTCCATAAAGTCAACATGAAGAACCTCCAATTGTTTGAAGTAAGTAAGTAAATCTTCCTGTTTCGTTGAGACTGTTGATAGTCTGGGAAAGTGTTTGTATTCACCTCTGCCTAGATTTCGGTTGAATAAAAGAAGTTTTCCCGCAAAAGCAGCTTTGAGGCTTTTTGATGTAATTAAGTTCAACTCATCGCCTTGCAATAATTGTAAATTAACTTCATTAAATATTTTTAACAGGTCTGACAAATATACGTTGTAATTTTTTGATCGAATCAGGTTTTCTCACAATTTTTCGTCTGTGTCCTAAGGAAAGTCAAGAACTAAGTCAAATAGATTGACAAAACGATTTAGATAAACACCTTTAAAGATCCAACGAACTTCTGAAGCTATTGTAATATTCATCATTTTCACTACAACTTTGACCAAATAATCGGTCATTCAATGAATTGCTTCTAATCTTATTGAATGCTATAATTACGTAATGGAGCGACGCGTAGGCGGACGTTTATTCAAATTTTTCAAACTAAATGCTTGACGTACGGCGAGTACATTTGGTACTGCTTGTTTAAAATGCGCTATGAAACCCTTATGACGTCCTGTCATTGCTAGAGCACCATCAGTAGCTGCTAACAAAATATTGCAAATAAGGATTCCTTTCTCTTAAAAAAACTTTTGCATTGTATTAAATATAGATTCTTCCTTTACAAATTTTTAGCAAATAATAACTCTTGATAAATAATGTTTTCTTCTTTTATACATCGAACGTATGACCAGAGTAGAGCTTCCTTATTTGATTCATCGAGTTGAATGGAAAATGTGCACGTAATGATATTTTAACATCTTTTGCCATTTCATATATTCCTCTTTGCACTGAATTATTACTGAGGATGATGATGATGTCTGATGGTGTTTTATGATAAAGAACAGTTTTTATTTTAAAAACTTAATACTTTACTACCGGCGTTTCTTTTTAGATGTAGATTGAGACATTTTGAAATGCAAATTAATTTCTCAACAGAATTATAAATAGTTATAGAAATAATATCTCGCGACTATTTATTTAGCACAGTAAAGTAACAAAACATTTGTAGATTTATCCCTTTTATATATTTGACTTCATGTACGTAATAACTTTTGTATGTTTGCGATGCCGTACACTTGCTCACTTGCTCTATAAACAAGTCATTTCAATTTTACACGTTCTTGATCTTGTTAAATTGCATGAAATAATAAGATAACTTAATTAGAAAGGTAAAATATTTATTCATGAAACCAGCTTCTGTATTTTATTATAATAATTTCCTTAAGTAGATACCCTATAGGCACACAATATTTCAAAATATTTTATAAACACTTTTTTTAATATTTTTAAAAGATTTATTTGAAATAATGATTAACTATATTTTATAGACTTTTTTTAATTGAAAAATAAATATTTTTATATTTTGTTGGTGAATGGGTAGTCATTGACCCTCTTGATTGCCTTAACGTCCCCCATTTGCCTCTGGATTCGCTACCGCCCCAATAGAAAGTTCCAGCGCCCACTGGGGGGCGATATCGCCCCCGTTGCATGTGAACCTATGACTTAGAACATGGCAATTCATTGTGGTCGTTAACGTGTTAAGGGTTCATGTTTCTATATCAAAATTCATCAATTAACGAGAGCTCTTTGGGGCAGAGCAATGTCGGTCGAAAATAGTAACACCCTGTATGTATACACTTTGTGTAAATATTTGTATTTCGATTCACAATATTTCCAAGATTTTTATCTATTGCGAGAAAGTAGAAGAGGATATTGTAGCATTCCTAATTTAATTAGCATGTCTTGTATAACTACAAAATCTTTTGCGGTTTTTCAAATTAAAAGTTTGTTTTTTTATTTAATTTTTAAAATTTCAAAGGTAATTCTTATTCAAATAGTTTATTCTTCTATTATAAAATCGTTTACTCACTGAATAATTATAATAAAAATTTTTCCCAGAATAAATTACTTGTGAGTAAGAGTTTTAAAACAATACTTTATTTTGTTATATAACTTCAAATTTCTATTTCCTTATTGAGTTACATTACATAATAAACGTATTAAGGAAGTAAGTAGAGTAGATATATGCATATCAATAGAATCGGAACATGTGGGGGTACTTTATAGGGGGTCGTTTATATATTGTATGGAATATATCTGTTATTTACGTTTGGAGAAGAAAATTCTTCAAATAAAAGTAACTTCTGATATTATTCTCTATAATTTTTGTTTAATACAAAATGTTCCATACAATATGTTCCATTTAATATTGTTAATAGAAGATATGATTGTCCTGAAATTCTATCGAAAATTAATCTTTTTGTTCCTACTCGTAATACCAAACAATTACAAATATTTTATATTCCTTTTTATAGACTTGATAGTACTTTTAACAGTTGTATTCCTCGCATACTTAGACTGGCAAATTCTCTGGATAATATAATATTTGAGTCTTCTGTAAATAGATTTAAGCACAATATTCAATCTTCTGTAAATAGATTTAAGCACAATATTCAAAATACACCAATGTAATTTTTAACAATTTATTGAAACGCTCGTAAATAAAAAAATAAATTGGTCCGTATTCGAGAAATTTGACAAAATGTAAAAAGTTCAAATGTTTTATAAATAGAGTCAAAAAAGGGACTTTCACACGAATTACATGTAATATTTTTTTACTACCGTACTTATTATCCACTAATATAAATATAAAAGTTACTTTTTTCACTAGTGCGTGAAGTACTTTATGCACTAGTGAAAAAAAGTAAAATGGGCCAAAATGTGTACGTAGCAACAAAATAATATTTTATTTTACAATTTTTATGCTATCTTCATCAAAGACAAGTAAATTATTTTTGCTTATATTTAAGTATCCTAGAAATTATCAACAGTTTTTTATTTTAATTATAATTTTCTCTAACTGTCATAGATTTAATTAAAAGTAACAAACCGTGGATTTCTATTTTGGTAAAAGTAAGTAGGTAATATAGGTACATTTTACGAATATAAATTTATTTAAACTTTACAAATTTACAATTCAACTCTTACAAAACAAAATAACTAACAAATAAAGCAATGTGTAAAAAATTAGGTTTTTAATTGTTATAAATATTAATATTGAATGTGCAATTATTGCATTTACCAAAACTTATGGTTTCGGCCTTTTTCAGCACAGAGTTTGAAACATGTTGTTATATTATTTCTGTAACCTTATTTTGAGCATCGAGTGGTTTAGATTTGGCCTTTTTAAGTAAAGAGGTTAAAAATGTTTGTGGTATTGCTTCTCTAACTTTAGTTTCACTGTCTAGTGGTTGCACTAATTATTCTTTATTAGAGTTGTCAACGGTAAAATTGTAGCTTGTAGGAACACTTTGTTTGGAAGTGGATGGAATACTGTCGTCATCTATCAAAATTTTATTATTTTCTGTAATTGTGCTATCTACATAGTCTTCTGCAACAGCAGATGACTTCCATCCTCCATGTTTTTTTACCGTTAGAAAGTATCCTCCAGAATTTGCTAGCATAGTGGCTGAAGACCTCCTAAAACAGTGTCCTGTAAAAGCTGTTGGATTGGGCAAATTTAGATACGTTGCTATAACACAATAACATTTTACCAAAAGTATTTATCCCTACAGGCTGTTTAGAACATTTACCATTTGCGTATTTTAAAAACAACCTGTTACAATTTATATTTGATGGTCTTAATGAGGTATATTTTTTTATGAAAGATAAATAATCAACTGAAGATATGTTGGAATTTAAAATCGTAAAAATGCGTTCCATTTCATTTTTGGTTTCTGGTACTTTGACTATATACACTGTTTGTTTATCTTTCACATCGTCAATTGTTATTTTACATAATTCTTCCTGGCGACAAGCTTCCGAAATTCCAATTATAAAAGCAACCTAAAAAATAACATGTAATGTAATGTTACAAATACCTAACTAAACATTAGGAAATAACCTGACGTTTCACATGTAAAACTGCAAATAGCTATTGTAGAAAATATAATATATTTAAGTATAGTGTGCTGCCTAATTAACCCTGGCATGTGAGGTCAGCAACTGATTTTGTTAGGCAACACACCATACGAACACACATGTCGTTGCAAAACTACAGAATATTTCAATTTTATACTGAGCACTCAAGCATTTACTGAGGCATTTACTTGCATTGATCATTAAAAACTCGGAATCTGGAACTATCAACAGAAAATGAATTAGATCTTCTCTTCCAAAAATTTTAGATTTTTTGGTTCATGGCCTTTTTTTGTTTGAGAAACGCTATTAACTTGTTGAATTTCGAGAAATCAACGTTGTTTTTATATTTTGAGATGCTTTTAAGCTAGAATAAGTCGACCATAGGGTAGAAAGTTTGCAATTCTTTAATGTATCAGAGAAATACGTTAAAATAACGTTTTCCGAATATTTTGTCACCTTGTTCTTCCTACACCATTCTATAAATGCATTGTATTTTTGCTTATAAATATATGCAGATTTTTCTGACAATAAATTTTCAGTGGTCTTTCAAGCACTGTATTCGCTCCGTTCGCGACAGCAGCGCCAATTCGTTTTGATACTAATGGACTATTTCTGCGTACACTGACAAATGCAACTTTTAATAGAATTCGTAATTAAAAAGTATATATGGTAGTTTTAATAAAAGTATATGGATTTGTAAAACAAGTAAAACATTAATTTATTATTATTATATATTTTTATCGCTTAAATTAAAGAAAATTATGTATAATCGATAAAAATCAATAATAAAATATAGGCAGGCAACTGGAAAATGTAAGAGAAGTTGCCTGAGTCTAATAAGTTTTCATTGAAGAATTAGTTTATTCTGTCAAAATAAAAAAATACCATTTAATAATAGAGAGTTATTGCAAGTTCACTTAAGGTCAGTCACTATTAGTGCCGCTCTTATTTTGACATTGATTAAAACTGATTTCCCTTCAGTAAGTTACAAAATTGCGTTCCAACCACATATATTAATCAAAGGCAGAAATCTTGAAATCTAGTCCTTGCTGAATGAACATTTAAGAATAAGGGATATTAAAGAACATGGTAAAATGATAATTTATTGTT